CACGCGGCGGCGGCCGGGACCCCTCTGAGGGACCGGGACCGGGACCAGGATCGGGACCGGGACCGGGACCGGGACCAGGATCAGGATCAGGATCGGGACCAGGATCCGGACCAGGATCCGGGTAAGGAACACCGGCAGGGAACAGGCTAAGGCAGGGCAGTGCTGGAATCGCCGTCCCTCAGAACCTTGTGGATGTGATGCTGGGGACACGGTTTAGTGGTGCCCTTGGCAGTGCTGAGTTAATGTCTGGGCTCGATCATAAATGTCTTTTTCAGCCCTAATGGTTCTGTAATTCAAAAAAAATGCGTGTACTGTGGAGTTGTGCTGGTGAGCACCGGCTGACCTCGCCCAGGTTCGCTGCAGATGGGAAACTTTATTAATAATTGTAACAGTCTAAAACAACAAAAAAAACCCCATACCCAACAAATCTGGAAAAGATCAGAAGAAGAAATGAAAAGTTGCAGTTTGTTTTTTTTTATTTGGTAGTTTTAGTCCCATGGGGGAAAAAAGGAAAAGAAACTTTTCTATGGTTTGGAATAAAAAAGTAGTTACAGAAACTACTGCCAAAGCTATAATATATAAATATATGCCTATCTTTAAATTATATTTTATATCATCAACGGATATCTCAAAGTATGTTATGTTACAGAAGTAACTTTTCCTACAAGATACAGGGAGTGGAATTGTCAATTCTTTGTTATGTTGCTTGCTCATACTGGTTATAATCCTATAATTCTAAATTAATTTTTCCTGGACGTGTGTTACATACTTGAAAGAATGCAGAAACATTAGTTCTTTTCTTAGTATGCTGGTTTTTAAATCTGTAAAACTTTGTTCTCGGAATTAAATTATTAATTAAGTTAATAAGCCTTTTATTTCCTAATATTTTCAGTGGGTTTCCTGTTTGAGAGAATAATCAGATTTTGTGAAGTGTGTGTGCAGGGCAGCTCCTTGAAGATATTTGTTCCTGTCTGCAGAGTAATTGAGCAGGTTGGTGTCCATGTGAACCCCATGGTTTCTGGGTGCTAATTTTACATGGTGCTTGTTTAAAGTTTACGTGTTCGTTTCTTTTTGTTCAGAGTTAAAGACTGGTGTAGCTGTTTGTGTTTTCTTCCAAATATCTTTTTATGGATTTAAGGAACAGCCCTGTACAGAAAGGTGGGCCCAGAATTCCCAGGCAAACATTGGCCTGTGGCCTGCCTCTTTCTTCAGACCTTTTGGAAATAAATATATTCATTTTTTTTCCACATAAGAGTTCTTCTGTGCATGGAATGATTGATGATGTTCAGATGGCTTTTAAAATGTTTTTTTAAAAAAGAGAATATAATCATAGAATGGTTTGGGTTGAAAGGAACCTTAAAATCTCATTCCAACCACCCTGCCAGGGGCAGGAACACCTTCTACCAGGCCAGGTTGCTCCAAGTCCCATCCAGCCTGGCCTTGAACATTCCCAGGGATGGGGCAGCCACAGCTTCTGTGGGCAACCTGTGCCAGGGCCTCAGCACCTTCACAGTAAAGAATTTCTTCCTGCCCTCTGTCAGTTTGAATGCATTTCCCCTTGTCCTGTCACTCCAGGATCTGGCAAATAGTCTCTCTCCATCTCTCTTGCAGGCTCCCTTCAGGTACTGGAAGGCTGCAATTAGGTCACCCCAAAGCCTTCTCTTTTCCAGGCTGAACAATCCCAATTCTCTCAACCTTTCAAGATATTTTTTTAAAAAATGTTTTTTTCTTTCACTGCATCACTTTTGCAGGGCAGCACTGGGGTCTGATCTGTACCTGACTGCGAGGAAGGTCTCCTGAGATTCAGATGATTGTTACCGGCTGGCAGCATTTTCCAGCTTTGTTGTGCTTTTTAGTGGAAGTATAAAAATAATGGCATTTCCAAGCTTTTCTCGGGGAAAAAAAAGAAAAATGGGAAAACCAGAAGGAAATCAGCACTACCATGCTGCTCAGCTGTGTTGATACCAAGCTGCCTCTGCAGACAATCTAAGACTTGGCTTTATTTGGTGAGTGAAAAGATGGTCTTTATGGGGCACAGCTTCTTCTGTGTGAGGACAAGCCAATAAGTGGCTTTCACACCAGGCATTGAAAAGAAGTGTTGAGAATTGTGAATCAGGGACTTGGCAAGGTTTTGGGGTGTGCTTTTGCACTTGAGAGCAGTTCAGGTGCAAGATGGGCAATGGAGGACATAAGAAAGGCAGAAAAAGAGCGTATTGCCCAATCCCATGTGGGGTTAGGAAGTTCAACCTCAGCTCTGTCCTCCTCAGGGACCTTCAGCCTGACCCACCACCCACTCCTCCCTTAGATCTTCCCCTTCTGGTGTCCCTGTTCTTAAGTGAATGGAAGGTGGAGGGACTGGGAAATGGGATAGAGATGGGTGGTTTGGTAAATAAAGCTTTAGACTGGGAGGGAAGGATGTCTGATGCCAAAGTGTTGGCTTGGCTGAATTATTTCCATGATGTATTTTTTGCCTTAGCTGATACTTTGATGCAAGTTTTAACAAAATATTTCAGTGAGAACAAAGCCGGAATTGAGGGTGGGAAAGAAGAAGCTAAGCCAGTGTACAGGACTGTAAAAAATCACACTCAAATTGCAGCACAAGCACTGGGTAATTCCATTAGGCTGTTCTGAAGGTCCCAGCAAAGAGTGTGTTTTCTGTTTTGTTTCTAGGTCTTACAAGATGAGTCTTTTCAACACTCAAAATAATTTAGAAGTATTGGCAGGAAGCAAGTATTTGCAGCTTTCCATTTTAACATGTTCATATTATGCTATAAACTCTTCAGTCTGATAAATTTTGATTCTGGTTATGTCAGGTGTTAAAGTCCAGAAGAACTATTACATTATCTACTATCTATCCTTTGCAACATAAACCATCTATACTGTTGTTTATACCCATTAAAGACTTTAATTTATCACCTCTTTTTCACATTAATCTGAAAACATTTCCTCCAGATTGTTAATATTATCAGGGTTTTGTATTTTTTTTTTTATCACATTGTATTGCTGAAAATGTTGTGAGGTGACCTTAAAGTTTGAGACTATATTTGCAGGAGGAATGCAAGTATTTCAAAACTTATTAGCTCCTATTGCTTTCCTCTTTGAGACTTGTTTCATATAAGAATGCACAGTGGCCTTAAAGGGACACTTACAGTTTTTTAAAAAATTCTGTAGTTTTCCAAATAAATGAAAACCTAATAAAAAAATCAAAATGAAAGCTTCTTTGTTTAATATGGCAACTGAATCTCATCTGTGAAAATGTGGGTGCATTAACATGCTCTTAGTTTTTATGCTGATTTAAATTAAATTATGTAAATTCAAAATTAGTTTTAAAGTAAAATAATTGTTTTGCTGTATTGTTTATAACCTTTCTTGCAATTTCTTTTTTTCTTTAACAGAAACTTTTTTTTTTTGTATTTTTAACTGATTAACAACTTTTCATGTGCATCTCTCTCTGCAGCTCACTATAACTACTAGGATCTTTGTTCTTTCTCCTGCAAAAACTATTGCTCAGCTTCTCATTAAAAATAAGATACAAAATTGCTGTACAATTGGTGAGCAGTTAAATTGGTGAAAAGACAGCCCAGCATTTAATTAAACTTGGCAAATTTGAGTTGTATGCTGGCAGTACCTGGAATAGGAAGCTTCAGATATTGTTCACTTCTCAATAATTTGAGGATTTTTTCATAATAATAATTTGTGTATCTTTGTTGCTGTGGGAATGAGTGGAAGAGTTGGAATTATGTGTTATTACTCCTTGGTGCAATCAGAAGGGACAAGCAGCTGTGAAAGCAAAATTTCCTGTTTAGAAACATAAAGTTCTCACTAGTAATATTCGAGTTTTTATGTGGTTTATGAAAGAGGTTTTTGGGGGTAAGACGATTTGATGTTACTTTATTCAATGTCTGTCAGGATATCTAAGGAAATACATGACTCAGTTTTGAACAGGAGAAAACCAGATTTTTTTATTTTACTTGCACGTGCATTGAGCACTCCTGCTTCAGGAATGTTTGTGGGAGGTAGACACGAGTGTAAGAGATTGAGGGAGGAAGGGTTTTGTAGTTGCTGGGTTTGGTTTGTTCATCTCTTCCTTGGGAAGTTTGGGTGATGGGCAAATACAAATGCACCATCAGTCATTCCCTGTGTGTTCATGTGTGCCTTGCATGGACATATGAACCACATCTCGCATTATTATGAAGTCTGAATGATCGAAATCTGTGGATTAAAGTCACCAAGTGAGACTTTAATAAAGAACGTGTACATTTTTAACCCCTGATGGTTCAGAAAGACAAGTTGTCGTGTTAGCTGAATTTGGCTGGGTTGTTTTTTTTTTCTTCCTTTTTTCGTGCTAGGCAGTTCTAAGAGGAAGCTGATATTTTTGATTAACTGTCTGATTTGAGGAACGGGGTCTTCTAAGAGGAAGAAATAAAATATTGGTGCTTTATTAAGGATCGGGGAAATCGCCTCTCCCGCTCTGAGCTGCTCTGGGCGGTCACTGGCGACACCCGGTGGCCGAGAGCGGAATGACAGCCCCTGGCTGTCCAGACTTGGGCTTTTCCACCCCAAATCCTTGGCATTAGATGTGTCTGTGTGGAGGCTCAGCTCCTTGGGCTGCTGTCCCGACATTCAGGAGCATGGCGAGGAGGCCACCTTAGGCTGGATGCTGGGTGCTCTCTGTGCACATACATGCTCTTCTTAATAAGGTCTTAATGCTGCTTTTGAAACGATGGACTGAGCAAATACTGTGTCTCGCTGTTGTCTGCCTGGCAGTCTGGTATCTTCCAGAAATGAGTAGTGAGCCAGCTTATCTCAGAGTTGCTTGTTTCTCAGTGTGCCTTCCTATTTGGGTTCTTTGCTGTGCAAGGACAGTGGTGGGTGCCAAGCTGGCGCAGTTGTAAAAGCAGATGAAGACAGTTAAAAAGTTTTTACCTCCACTGTTATAACTGGGAAGTATTTTGTAAGATAAACTTTATGATTTCTGCTCCATATTTTATTTATGGTCAGTTTATGCTCTTAAATTCTTGTGCCAGTATTGTTCTCGAGTAGCTCCCCTCCCTCCCCAGCATTTATTCCTTTGATGTGTCTGTAGATAGTCATTGTATCCCGCTCAGTCTCCGTCTTTGCCAAGCTACACAAGGCAAAACATCCAGCTGCTTCTTGTGAAATAAACAATCCATTACCTGCATCATCTAACCCTTCCTTCTCTGCACTTGATTATGGCTTAGTTATCCAGACTTTGGCCTCAGCAAAGGGCACTGCTGGCACTGCTATGACCCTGTGAAATATGGGTTTACTTAAGCATTGAGAACAAACATGGCTTGACAGCAGGGTCATCAAAATGCAAAAAGCTCTCAACTTCGCTTTTTATCCTTGTCTTATTTTGGGGCAACAGGCTGCTGAAGACATTTGGAAAGGTTTTTGTGGTTCTCATAAATGTAAGTTCCCCACCTAGGTCTCCAGAGTTCGTGGGTCCTAACAGAAACATGGAGTTCTGTTTTTGCCAGCAGGGATTCTCTGTGTTGCTGCCTATAGCAGACCTCTTGATCAGAAAGTCAGGAGTAACAATACCTGCACACTTTCTTGTTTGATCTTCCCTTTCATAATTTTATTTCTTGTGACTGAGTCCTAAATCACTTAAAGAGTGAAAAAGCAGTTGAATGTGAACTTCCAGTGGAGTATGGAAAATCATTGTGCATTTGGGTGTCATGGAAAGGAAAAGCTGATTTTTTTTTGTCTTTTATGGCATTGGTGAAGCAGCTGCTGGAATTTCATGTATGGTTCAAGAGTAAGCACTGTCTAAAGGCTCCTGAAAACAAAGAGCTGAAGAGAGTGCCTTGCATGTGTTCAATGTTCACATCCTTGATGCCTTAGCATCTTTTGTGGAGACTCAAAAGTAAATTCTCCTGATAAGGATAAAAGCAACATAGCTCTGAAACCCTTTATTTCACCCTCTTCCATCCTCCTGTTGTCACTTAGATGACATCTTTTCCTTTTGTCTGCTATAAAGCATTGAAAATTGAACTTAGGGCATGATAAAGATTCAGCAGAGCCTCCAGCTGTCAGACTGTGCACAAAGAGCATGTTTTGGAAACCGATAGTCTGGGAGCTGTCATGGGCACACAGAGATCTCAAGTTTCTCTTGTTGCTTTGAAACTAGAGAGGGTCTGACAAATTATCTTGACATGGGGACGTTCTGCAGTAGCTAAATATAAAAAAAATGGATATTGTGGGATGTGACTGGCAAAGACACTTTGGTGATCTGCAGATTCTGGGGAAGCAGATGAGGAAAATGAGGAGAAGTCATTTTCCCTGCTTAGGCTTGGCAGATGTTTGTGTCTGTGCAATACATCTGGAACAGCAGAGGTTTGCTTGAGCTGTGATGTTAGAGTGGGGCTGAGAATTACCAAGCACACAGATGTTGTTTAGCTTGTATTCCCCTACATCTGCACGTGCAGGGAATTACCTCCTTACCTGCTTCACCAGCAACTGATTTCAGCTTGGGTTGTTAAGAAAAGAGTCTTGAAAACGTAATAGTTTTGTGTTTTGAAGAATGAGCTCTAATAAAGTCTAATAATGAAGTGTGCTTAAGGTAAATTACTGTTGTGAAAGAATTTCTAAAATATTCCAGTAAATAAAACATCGACTTTATGTCATTGTATATATTTTAAATATCAGTGTGTGGTAGTAGAAGCTCTTTTTCCAGTTACAGCAAAGTTTCTTTATATCCTTTTATTACAGTTGCCGCAAAATTCAGGCTGAAATTTCCCGGGCTTCCTGTGGTGTAGAAATAAATTCTTTGGAAGAATTTCAGCAGATTTTATTAATCTTTGGGAAAATTTCTTACTTATTTCCAGGTTTCTTCTATTTGAGGATGATGGTATTAAGTGGCAGTGTCTGAATTGAAGGAAATAAATGGCGTTGTTTCACAGTCAATAAATTATTCATGCAGCTTTGTAAGTAATTTTTTCCTTTCACCTTTCTCTGTAGGGTGGATCATTGGTGTTGCCTGTTCATGTGGTATTTTGTTCAGCTTAAAATGGCCCTGCAAATTGTCACTCTTGGAGTCCTTTCTTGTAATCCCAAACTGGAAAAGGGCATCAGAGCACTTTCTGATTGTGGACTTTGCAGGTGCCCTACACTCTCACAGTGACTTTTGCATTGTATCTTGTAGTGTAGATATTCAGAGCAAGGCTTTTTGTGTGAAAGTGTGCTGCTGGCTGTACTTACTAATGTTTGTGTGCACAAGGATTGTGAGCTGGGAAAACACTGTCCTTGTTTCACTGATTGGGAAAGTGAGGAGTGAATGTTGGCCCTTGCTGGGAATTGCTCAGCAAGCTGTTCTGCCACAGTCGGGGCTGGGAAGTGTTTGTAGGCCAGGCTCTTGTTCAAATCCACTTAGATAAATACTTTATTTCTGTCTGGTTTGAGATGACCATCTCAGTGCACAGCTCTAGTGCCAAGTCAGACAGCAAAGCTGTTGGACCTCTTCACAAAGAAGAATGCTGTTAGTGAGCGTGAACCTCTGAGCTGCTCGTGGCTGCTGTGCTGAAATGTGAATAGATCAAAACTTAATGCTACATGCAGGTGACCATTGTACCCTCCGTGTTTGATTTCCAGCAGCTGTTGGCTGGCTGTTATTCGAGAGGCTGATTAGTCCTGGATCTTCTTTCCAATGTTTGTGGTTGCAAGGAGTCATCTCAGGATGATGCGTTCGGTGGGAGGCGCTTACAGGAGAAAGGAAATGACTTTTCTGTGGTGGCTGTGGTCTGATGAGATAAGCACAAGTGCAGAATGCTGAGACTTGGATTCTCTTCAAGGTTTGCAGCAGAAAGGCAGGATAGCTGTGGTTCCATTACAGGCAGCAGGCACAACAAGCCTTAGCTTTGACCCCCGTCTCAGAGCCTTGCTCGGTGCAAAAGCCAGGGCCCAGCAATAGGACAGTTTTCCTGTTCTCTAGAATCCAGGTAAAAAAGCCTCTTCAGAGGCATCTGAGAGTGCAGTTTAGGCATAGATGAGCTTGCAGAGTGTTTTTAAATACAGTATTCTTTGCCAGAAGAAAAGAAGAAGAAAACATAATATATAGAATTTAGAATACAAATAGCCCAATTGCAGTACCTCTTTCTGAAATTTACCCTTTGCCTGGGACTCTTTCAGACCTGCCCTTATAAAATAGGATTGCTTCTGCCAGCTTGATCTGAGAATAGCCAGGAGAGTAAAATAGAGCATCTCTTATCCTCTTATTACTTCTTTATTGGATGACCACCTCACCCACACCTGGATGCATTTGCATCCTCTACCTGGTCAGGTCACTACAAGGAAAACTCCCACTCACAGGGAAGTTCTTGGTTGGGTCCAGCTGCTCATGGCAGAGTGGGATTTCAGGGACAGCTTCCTTTGTGGCTCCTCTGTTAGTAGGTCTGTGTCACCAGCATGGAATTGGAGGAAAAGAGAAGATTGAAAAAGGGATATTCTCAAACATGCTTGAGTTACTGTCTTACAGTTTCTTAGAGTATATTAGAAACTCTTGTTTCCCATGTTAGAAATCTGAGCATCATATTTTAATAAATTTGCCTTAATTTTGAACCCAAAATTTGTAATTTGACATTTTTATAGTTTTGTGTAGGGCTTTCTAGCTTATTTGAGTTTTTTAATTGTACATTGGATTATTCTACACTTTTTCAATCGGTCATCTGATCTTTTGCAGTTCTTTACCATGTCTTTGGTTCTTGAATTTCTGTCAATAGGCTTTCAGGACCTCAAGTTTGAATGTTAATTCATTGCACTTTGGACCTGAAGGCAAGCCTAAGTGTTCTAGATCTCTCTAGACCTCCACCAGATTTTCCAGTGCTGGATGCAAAATCAGGATAGATCTTTCTAGATGGAATGCAGGCTTACACCAAAAAAAACCAACCTGAAAGTTTTCTTTTGATGAAAATAGTCACTGTTTTTATAGTTTTTATGATCTATGCATTTAAAGCTGTGCTTGATCCAATTCAGAAGTTGTTTTTGCAATCTCTCTCTATGGATGTCCAGTATAATATTCAAAAGAGGTTTTATTTCTGCATTGATATGAACACTTGCTTATGCCCCCAAAGGATGAGTTCAGAACAGTTGTAGTTTCCATCATTTTTTTTTTTTTTTCCAATTACTGAACCCCAAAGCACTGAGCCTTTTTCCTTTTATTCTCACCTACCTCTGACTCTTATTTTTTCCCTTCAACCAATACTGTTTAAGGCCATTTCCATGGTTCTCTCTCCCACCTACACTCCTCTCTCCATTGCTAAACAGGATTGTACCCCAAAGCTCATTCCTGGTGGGAGGGCAGGGACTGATTTCATCAAAGGCAAGTAGGTTGGTAGACCTAATTTTTTTGATCTTCCCATAGACTTTGTGTTTTATTTTTTTCTCCTTTCCATTCTGCTGATAGAATTTTCTCTGTACTGCAAATGAAGAATTACATGTAGCTTCTTTCTGACTGTGCCTTACATTTGGAAGCAAGATGTAGCTGATTGGAGAGCATGAAATAATTCTCTTGGCAGTTACATCTTGTCTCTGCACTTTAGCGTAGCCTCTCGTGCATTTTATTCCCTTCCTGCCTGATGACTAAATGCTCTTTGCCTTCAGCAGGCTTTGTGGGAATGCTGGAAAAACCTCTTCTCCCTCTGTTTGGGTGAAATAACTAACCCAGCTATGGGAGACTGTGTGCTGGAGAAACTGTGAGCTCCTTGGGGCTGGTTTGTGCTTCCCCTCTGTGCTCAGATAATTTGCTGGTCCATCCTCTCCTGGGGAGTGGTGCCAGTGGGGAGAGGTCTCTGCAGGCTGCTGCAATGGGGAAATGCACTGGGGTGTTCTCCCTGCAGTGGGGAAATGCACTGGGGTGTTCTCCCTGCACTGGAGCAGTGCAGCACTGCATTGGCAGCTCTGCTCCCAAATGCAAACCACATGTCCTGTGCATGCACGAGCTGCTTCCCGCTGCCCAGAGCTCCAGGTTTGTTCTCAGCTTGCTCTGGAACTTTTAATAATTGTAAAAATAAAGGGAGGGTCTGTTTGTATTGTTTATAGTAGGAAAGAACAGGGTAAGATTTCATCTGCTGCTGTTCAGATCCCTTGCTATTTTTGGTATTTGACCTCTGCAGAGAAGATTGCCAGAACTACAGGTCTTCTTAATTTTTATTACGTGTTTCTGCCCTCCTACTCATAAGTTACTCTTATGTTAGTGATTAAATCTTTGAGAATGTGCCATTTTTCCATAATTTTCCCTGTATTTTTAAAGGAAAATTTGTATTTCTCTATATTTTTGATCTAACTTTCCCTTTTGGAAAGAAGAACTATGCCACTTGGCAGCATCTTCTGTACACCACTCAAAGGAAAAGGGAAATAACTTACGATTTGCTGGTTTGTCTTTTGAAAAACATTCTGGACTGAAGAGGACTGATGAGCCTGTTGTCTTGAACTGAAGCTGCAACGTTTAGAATACTGCACAAACAGCAAAGCAGCATGTGCTGAGACAGTGTTAAGTGTTTAGTTTGGGCAGATAGGTACTTGCTTTTCATTTCTCCACGGCTGGAAAGGGCTGCCTTTGGCACAGCCATTTGCTTCTAGTCTTGCTGTGTGGCTGTTTCCACACTCCACCAGTGAAAAACACATAAGAAAGGCATCTGAAAGTCCTGTCCTGTTTCTTTGGCATCACTTCCACTGCGTGTCTTCTATTCTAAACATTGAGTTTATTTCTTTTTTAAAGGAGCCTCATAGGATGCCCTGGAGGTCAAAATATTTTAGGTTATTTCAGAGAATGGTACTTATTCTGAGTTCCCAAGATGTACTGAGTTTTGAGTGTCCTTCCAGAAGCTTATTGTTTCTGGTAGTTGTGGTATCCAGGAGATGTGTAGGGGTTGCATATAACAGTGTACTGAATTCATAGAATAAATCACCTGAGTGTAGTTCCAGCAGTCTAGATATAATTACATAGAAGGTTCAGGTTTAATTATAAAAGGTGGCTTTTCTTGGCTTGGAGGGTGCAGATGTGGATGCAGCTGAAAGATTCAGCTGTTCCACGTAAGGAATGGTGATCCCTAAGGATGGGATTGCACCTCTCTTTCAAGCACAAGTGACTGGCCAGAGCCAGACACCTTCAGGAGTGGTGGTGGTTTCCTTGACATCACCTGGATTTTGTCAGTGTTGAGACTATAGATGCAGACCATGGGTGACTTTGCTGGAGAAAGTGAAAAACATGAATGTAATGAACTACCTCACGTTCTGAGCAGAGGAGGAGCGCAGTTCTTCTCTCTGGTCATCACAACTGGCTTTTGTGCTATGTCCAAAACATTTCCAAGACTCAGATTTTGCCAAAGGATTCTTTGGAAAACAGATACCTCTGTTGTTGAACTTAAGGAACTGAAAGTGCTTCAGTGCAGAGGACCATGTGCTTTGTAGGTGGCTGCAGTCCAGTGCTCAGTTATCTTCTATTGTGTTTGGAAGACCATTGTTTCCTATTTGTCTCATAAATTTAACATAGATCCTATTCCTGCCATTTAAACTTTCCCATCAAAATACAACAGTGACTTCCCCTTCTGAAAAGGAAGGGCTGGCAGCTACACCCTGAAGTTTGAGCATGAATTGTTTATATAACCTTCAATCACAATTTCATAATAGTCTGAAGACTTTCTTACTAAGGCAGACATTTTGCTGAGTTTTTAGCAAAAAACTGGCTGCCATCAAACACAACTTTAAGTCTTAGCTGTTGCAGTGGCAATAGAATTGAAAACAGAACGCTTCAGCTTCCTGATGGTAGAAATTGCACTTCTGCCTGAAAACATGAACAGCATTTTCTCGTATTTCAGAATAGCTGTACTTAAGTTATTCTGGGCAAAAGAGTTGTGTTGAGCTAATTTTATTTCCCAGAAAACATTATTAAAACTGAATGAACCTTCTTTTGCAGACTCTGGCTTTTTACAACTTCTGAGTATTTGTAGAGTTCCCTCACCTTCCCCAGCAGTAAAAGCTCTGACATGAGTGTTGTAGAAACTGCTTATTGAAAGATACTCTCTATCATAGTCAGTAATATTTAAACAACTGCAGCTTGCCTTCCAAATGGATGATGTTTGTCAGGAACATGTCTGTTTGAGTTTACTTGGCCTTTTGAGTAGACAAAGTCTGGATATTTAGAGCTTGAAATTCAGGTCAGCTTGGAAAACTACATTTTTCTTACAAGAAATTTACAGATATAAGCTGATTTTTTTAGTAACCATAACACTGCAGGAGAGCTGGTTTACAGAAACTCCTTTCTTCACCCTCAAGCATGCATGTTTGAAACTATTTAAATAGAAGCTTCCATTGTAATTCTTCAGTAAATTGAATTAAGCAGTTTTCCTAATTAATAATGTTACAAATATTTTATTTGTTCCGTTTATATTATTGATTTGCATGGATATTTAACAGTTTTATGTTTAAGCAGCGTAGCAAACAGCGTTTGAGAACAGTTGGCTTTATGTAAGAGTTCTAGTAAAAGCTTGTTTCATCTGAGGACATACCCAGAAAAGTAAGTAGGGAACAAGTTCTGTGGGTAGGTTGTACTCAGGGTAATGCCAGAAAACACGTTGAGCTTCTTTGCTTCAGAGGGGAAAGGAGTTTCCACAGGATGTCTGCATTTTATGGCAAAAATGACTGGTAGATGTGCTCTGAAAGGTTGCTTTGATGTAGAAGATTAACCTGGGGACCTCATTGTCAGGATATTACTGAGGCAAATCGCTTAGTGAGATTATTTGTGACTTGGGAATTAAGTTTTATGTGTGCCTGCTTAAGCTGTTTTTTAAGAATTTGCTGGTTTGTCACATGGTGTCATGAATATTTGTGTGCACCAAGCCAGAGGAGGGAAAGCAAACCCCTGAAACCGCATACAACGCTAAGAAGAAAAAAAAAGCAGAATGCAGCTTTGTCATAGCAACTTCTCCTTTGTTTTTGGTCTCTCATGGACAATTAAAATAATTATGACTAAAGCAGGTAATACATGGAAACTTGCACATTCCACCCCCAAAAATCGAGCCTGTAGAATTTGCAGAAAAATTGATGATAGAACAGCTGGGAAGGCATGAGAATATTTTCTTGCATTCTGTGTCTGTCTGATTTTTATTCCATTTCTCTTTGGATTTTTTTTTTTTTAAAGGGTCATTTCAGGCATGTGGTGCCTGGGATTGGCTGCTGGTCCAGATCTTAAGGAAATATCAGTACCAGTGAGAAATCACTGGAGTGCTGACCCCTTAAAACTTGCTGTGATTCCCTCAATGTTTAGGTTTTGATTCTTTTTAAAAACAGAATAGTATTATAATTGAACCTGTGTTTTTGACAGAAGTGGATGACTGTAATAACATACCTACATCTTCCTTTAAAAATTGGTTGTAGTTTGTGAACCACTAAAACCATTGCAAATATCTCTTTAAAATATAAATGCTGCTTTGCTTTTCCTGACTGTGAATTTATGGAGTCTTTACTTCAATTACAGAATGCAATTTTCTTTTGTGTTATAAAAACTATGTTTTTCCTTTGTTTTTAGGGCATATTTTAGAAATGAATCTGTGAAAGGATCCAAGAGAATTTTGTTTAATTTTAGTTTTGCTGGGTAAAGGTTGCATTTGTGTGCATTGCTGAAATAGTTTGGGTTTCTAGGAGTGTTTGGTAGTGCCAGAGAGGAATTGCCTCTGAAGGGAAGATTTTTATCAGCTGCACTAAAACCCAGTGTTCTGTGGTTTTACAGGAGGCTCAGAAAACGTTGAGGTGCTTAATTGCAGTGAATTCCACAGGTCACTAGCCTGTTTAGGTGGTCCCTGATACGCTGGCAGGTGTTTCTGTGCGTCATTGGGCACCTAAATACTTGTAAAATTACCTCACCAGGCCATTTCAGGCTGTAGTGCTGTGTAATTTTGGTCTTGTTCTCTGCCTCCCCTGTGCACGTCCCTCAGCACAGAAGTTCACTTAGGAAGTCTCCCGCAGTTGTACGGATGCAGCTGTTTGTGGGCTGTGCTTCCTAGAACAAAATTTATTCCTGCTCAGGTAGAGGGGGTGACATCATTATTGTTTCCAGTTGTGGAGAACATCACGTTACTTTATAAAAATAATAAAGCAAATTTAGCTAAGTGACTTTCCCAGGATTTCCAGATAGACTGTTTAATCTGTTAAGGGGATTATCTGGTGTAGTGCTTACAGACACAGGAGACTGAACTCCTTGAATCAGGGAGCCCTTTCCTGTTCTGTGTTCCTGTGAATGAAGCTGTGCTGAGGAGGACATCAGGATAATTGAATCTTAGCTCCATGCCTCACCTCTGCACGAGATGCTTCCTCCTACGTGCTTTTAAAGCTAACACTGTTGAAGAATGTTGTAATTAAAACTCTCCTTGGCTTTTTCTTACTGCAGGTTTCTGGCAAGGCTGGGGAGATGACGGCAGTGGACAAGGTGGAGGAGCAGCTGGCGGGTCTGCGCATAGCCAGGCGCTGCGTGCCCAGCGAGAAACCCGCCTACCTGCTGGACATCGACACCTCCACGGCTGCCCAGCCCGGGAGCAGCCGCTTCGTGGCAGTTTCCTGTTCCAACAAATCCATCAGGGTGTACGACAGGGAGACGCTGCGCTTCCTGCGGGAGTACCGCGGCCACCCCGGGATCCTCAGCGGGGTCAGGTTTGCACACACGTGTGACAGCGTGGTGTTCTCAGCCTGCAGCCAGGGCACTGTGAAGTGCTGGGATGTTCGCTCAGCCGCGCAGGAGCCTGTGCAGGTGTTCAGTGGTTATCCCTCAAACGTCTTCATCAGCTTCGATGTCAGCTGCAGTGACCTCATCGTTTGTGCCGGAACGGAAAAAGTTGAAGATGAAACGTTCCTGGTGTTTTGGGATGCGAGAGGCATTACAGACTGTGCCAGTGCCACTAAAGAACCCTTGGGAGTCTATTCTGAAAGTCACAATGATGACATCACCAAAATCTGTTTTCATCCTGTTGAACCCAATTTGGTAGTGTCTGGGTCAACTGATGGCTTGGTGAATGTGTTTGACATCAATAAGGATAACGAAGATGATGCTTTGATATCGACTTGCAATTCAGATTCATCAGTGAGTTCTCTTGGCTGGTCTGGGGAAGATTACAAACAGATCTATTGCATGACACACGATGAGGGGTTCTGCTGGTGGGACATGGCTCAGCTGGACACTGAAGAGCCGATAACCCTGCTGCACGTTCTGGATGTCAGAGAGTCAGTTAGCACTGAAAACCACAGCCTGCATTACCTAGTGGGTGGCTTGTACCACGAAAAGGCAGGGAAACTCTTCCTGGTTGGGGGAACCTCCACAGGAGACATCCACCTGATCAGCTGTGGCACCGATGGCCTGAGCCTGGTGGGGACCCTGTGTGGGGGACACTCGGCCACCGTCCGCTCCTTCTGCTGGAGCCCCACGGATGAGTCTCTGCTGACGGGTGGAGAGGATGCTCAGCTGTTGCTATGGAAACCTGGGGCTGTGGAAAGGTCCCTCACAAAGAAAGCATCTCTGAAGATCTCTTCTTCCTTGCAGAAGAGAGTGAGAGTTCACAACACCTCCCTCAAAAGCAGGAAAAAGTGAAATGCCTAAAGTGGGAATCTCTGCCATGCAGAGCTTTCCTGGTGTTTAATCTCCCTAGGCAATACTTGGCTGTGTTTTATTTAGAGGTTTTCTGTGGAAAGAACTGTGGTGCTTGAATTCCCCCGGGAATGCATTTCAGTCATCAGAAGAATGCCTTTTATTTTTTTTAAGTTGCTAATATTAATCAGAAAAGAGTAAATGTTTGCTCCTGAGTTCTTCAACAGCTGATGTTAAATCATATTATATAAAATTATTTCTGTGGTTATTTAATATCTCAGACAATGTTCTAAATGTGTAATACAGGCCTGTGGCTTGCATAGTTTGTTACCTTCCCAATGATATTTCCTGGCACATGGTAAAAGCTTTTGTATTCCATGCTGTATTTTGCTTTCTTCACAGAAAACTTAATGAAATTGCTCAATTTAGTAAAAGATTTTATGTCACATCTTAATGCCTGAAGGAATTACTTTCTGATGGAACAGAAAATAAGTAGTTTTGCACTGTCACATCACTGGTTTAGAACAGGCTCATAAAGAAGCAGCTGATAGAGCCATCTTTTTCATAGCAGATATGAATGTATTCAACCAAACAGCAGCTAATTTGTATGAGTATGAGAACTGTTAAACTGGCATTATTTCCTGCATGAAAATACCCAAGAATTTTGCAAGCAGCTTCATTCTCTCCTACTAAGTGCACCTGGAAGACTGGGGAGATCTTTGGTGGGTTGGAGAAATTGATGGGTATAATTACACCAGTGCTGCTTAAAATCCCAAACCCTGACTTGAAAGAAATTGGTATCACATGCCAAGTGGGGATGCTAAAACCCAGAAATGAACACTGCCTTCAGAGACTGTAGTTATGGAGGAACAGGCTGATATGAGGAGACTTCAACAAAACCTTTTAGAGGTTGGCCTGGGTCCTTTAAGAAGTGTTTCTCTCTGCTCAGAGGTTTATGCTTGGACATCTCCCCAGGAGAGCTTTGTTTTATTATTCCACCAAATACCCACTGAGTGGTGCAAAACCAGCCCTGTTCTTGTAAAATGGGTGAGACTTCATGCTTATTCTGCTTTGCTGGAAGACTCCAACCTGTGCTCCTGGCTCTGCACACACACTCACCTCCAGCCTTCCCAGGACCACTGCAGGCAAATGGTGTTGGTATTGAGGCTGTAGTTACACATGTGCACTACAACTGAAACCAGCACCAGAATATTTAAGAATTGCTCTGTTATAGATTAGCTAGGATTTAAGATGGGTTGGGTTATTTTATCTTTTCCCTTGAGGGTGGATAGGTAATTCTTTCAGAAAAAGTCCTGAACATCAGGTTTAAAGGATTATCCTGGAGTTTAGAAACAGTTTCTGAGGTACAGAACATATTCCAGTGTATGGTTACAGCTGTGCTAAAGATGCCTGAATCATCTCTGGAATTGAATCCTTTTCAACCACAAGTATCGAGTTTCCACATGATGTTTCACAAACTGTTAATACCCTTTAGCCACAACTGTGAATCCATTGTTAGTTTGGGTTTGCCTGCTGGTGATAAGATGATTCACTTGGTTTTGTTACTGCTGGTTATTTAAAAGTGCAGCTTCAATTTGAAAATCACAGCTCTATACAGTTTTTTTTGTTACTCGTGTTAAATTCATGTTGCCCCAACATCCTTATCTGTTGCTTTCCAGATTACATTGTGCTATTTTAAGATGAGGTGGGCAGTGAGTGTCAGGGCTATGATGCACCTGGGTCATGTGCCCTCTCAAGATTTATTATCCCAGGTCACTGTTTTTTGCCTGTTGTGTACAGAGTGGACCAAGAGCTTTAGACTCTGAATTCACTGTAAAGCCCTCATGGGCCTGACTTGGTTCAGTGCCAGACTGGGGGTGGGGGACTGAAGGATGATTGTGAGACCTATTTCATTGCAGGTACAGTGTATAACTTGCTGGCAAACAAAAACTTGCTGTAAAACATCTAAAAAAGATGTTTATCCACTCTTTTCCTGGTATCTGGACACATTCAGTAGATAATGTCGTTGGGTCTGTCTCATGCTTAATTTCTTGAAGACAGGTTAGTGTGCACATAGAGAAATGCACAGAGAGGGAGCTTGTGGTTGCCTCCACTTGCTTTCAAGTGTCTGCTGAGTGAAATTCCAGTGTGCTCTGCCAGCTGCCTGTGAATTAAAGCAGCAGAGGTGGGGAGTTCTGGGACTGAAGAGTTTGCAGTATGCAACCTGTGCCTGTTATCTTGTTTCTGGATTAGGTGGATATTGATTTGTTCTGTATCAGTCACAGCTGAAGCCATGATTTTCCCTGGGAAGCTGATTTCTCCCTTTTACGTGCATAACAGAAATAGCTGCAGAAGGGAAAAAATGTGTGTCTGTATCTTAAAATTCCGCAAAGCCACAGCAGCTGTCACGAGACTGAGGCTTGTGTTGCCTCTGAAAATACTCAGTTTTGTTGTTTCTCTTTTTCTTTTGTGTTGACTTAATTTCAGGTTAATACCCACAAAATAAACATAGATGGAACCACATGTGAGCAAATAATTAGCACTGCTTGCTTCTGTAGGCTGCAGGCACTATTTCAGAGAGCACAATCCATGTGTGATCACATAAATAATAATAGACTCAAAATCAGGTTAACTTGTCTGACAGTATTTAATCTCTTAGGTTAATTTTGACATCTCCAAGTTGGCTTCAGCATTGGTAAGAATCATGGAATCACAGAATGGTTTGGGTTGAAAGGGACCTTTAAAGGCCATTTAGTCCAACCCCCCTGCGAGGAGAAGGGACATCTTCAATGCATCCAGGTTGCTCAGAGCCCATCCAGCCTGACCTTGAATGTTTCCAGAGGTGGGGCATCCACCACCTCTGTGGGCAACCTGTGCCGGTGTTCCACCACCCTCATTGTCAAAAATTCCTTCCTTATATATAGGCTGAATCTACCCTCTTATACAAAACTTTTACCCCTTGTCCCATCCCAGCAGGGTCTGCTAAAACTTTTGTCCCTTTCTTTTCCATAGGCCTCCTTCAGGTATGGAAGGACTGCAGCAAGGTCTGAGGAGAGCCTTCTCTTCTCCAGGCTTCCCACCCCAGCTCTCAGCCCGTGCTCACAACAGAGGTGCTCCAGCCCTCTGAGCATCTCTGTGGCCTCCTTTGAACCATGTCTCCTGTGCTGGGGATCCCAGAGCTGGATGCAGCACTGCAGGTGGGCTCTCAGCAGAGGGGCAGAGGGGCAGAATGCCCTCCCTGGCCCTGCTGCTCACACTGCTGGGGATGCAGCCCAGGATGGGATTTGTGTTCTGGGCTGCAAGGGCACATTGCCAGCTCATCCCCAGCCTCTCCAGCATCAGCACTGAGTCCATCTTGGCAGGGTTGCTCTGGATGCCTTCATCCCCAGCCTGGATTGACACCAAGGGCTGCCCTGACCCAGGTGCAGCACCAGCACTTGATTCCTGTGGTCCCACTTGAGCTTCTTGAGCTTGCATGGGTCCCTCTGGATGGCATCTCATCCCTCAGGAGTGTCAACAGCGCCACTGGGCTTGGTATCATCTGCTGATCCGAGGCTGCACTCGATCCCACTTCTGTGCCATTAATTAAACAGTGCTGGTCCCAGTACAGACCCCTGAGGGACCCCCTGACCTCTCTCTGGACATTGAGCTGTTGATCATTACCCTCTGGATGTGACCATCCAACCAATTCCTCATCCACCCAGCAGTCCAACATCAAATCCATCTCTCTCCAGTTCAGAAGGATGCAGTAGGGGACTGTGTCAAAGGCCTTGCAGGAGCCCAGCTCTGACCTTTATAAAACTTACGTAATTGAAGCTATGTGCTAGTAGCTTTCGGAAATCATCACTGTGTGAATTGTTTAACCCCAGGGGAAGCTTGAATTCCGGAAGCAGTATCAGATTTGTTCCAGTAAATGAAAAGCAGAAATCCAGATAGTCTGTTTAATTGCAAAAACCAGTGTCCATCTTTATTCAGAGTTTATAGTAAACCTGCTGTACGATGTATCTGAGCAGCAGGAGATCATCCTGCTGTAAACACATGAAAATTAAATTACTTGTATTTGGCATGTCCTGAAATTTACTCTTTGTTTCTTTTTTCTGTAATTAAAGTGCAGTACTTGCACACTTGCCACTTTTTTTCAAGTAAAAGACATTCAGGATGACATCCCATAGTCTGTGGATAACTTCATCAATTACTTGACTGTAGGATTTTACCCACACTTTAGGGTTGAGGTGGAAATTATTTAAGAAATCCAAAGTTGTGAATTCATTTCTGGGTGGAATTTATTTAGCCAGTTGCCAGCCATAAGCTATTCTGTGGGCCAGATTGTATATGGCACGTGTCCTGTGTATTCAAACTGCAAATCTACATTCAAATATCCCTTAGCAGAGAAGCTGATAGAGTAAAACATTTAAAAGACATGAAATGCAAGCTTTATGCTGTTCCAAATGACAGCTTTCTCTTGGCTCCTGCCGTGCTGTGGCTCTGTAGGTCAGAGAGTTGTGTGAAGCAATGCATTTTGTCATGGGAAGTGCTGACTCAGCCCCTGCACACTCCTGGAGCTGCATCTTGTGTTTTACAGGATCCTGGACTGGTTGGGGTTGGAAGGGACCTCTGGAGATCATCTGGTCCAACCCCCTGCTTGAGCAGGTTCACCTAGAGCAGGTTGCACAGGGTTGTGTTCAGACAGGGTTTGATTATCTCCAAAGATTCTCTGGATAGCTGTTCCTGTGCTCTGCCACGCTCACAATAAACAAGTTTTTCCTCATATTCAGGTATGGATACAGTTAATTGCAGTGTCAGTTCATTGACAAAGCTTCTGTACTGAAGGAACTGACACACTTGCTATCTCCTAGAGCTTGTCTGCATTTGCCATGGTTAATTTGGAGTTGTTTCTCTCCACCCCTTCAAAACGGTCTTCTGTTGTTTGTCTTCTTGGTCTCTTTTTAGTAGGTAGTGGCAAATTGTGTTGGCACCTGCTTTTCTGAAGAGATGGGTCCTGTTCCTTTCCTCTGGGAGCTCCTGCCCTGTGCATGGGCTGCTGGACTCTGCACTTCCACATCACACCAAATGGAGGGTGGGAAGCAGAGGGAGGGAAGACCAAGGGGAGGTTGGCCAAGCTGACCCTCCAACAGGGCATCTCTCCAGGGGAAGCTCCTTGATAAGGAGCTGGACCCTCTACCTATTAAAATACATGTAAAAGCTTATTCTTGAGCTTGATGTAAGCAGGATAGGACCTCAAATAAATTATGCAAGACATAAACACCCTTTAAGCATAAAAGCCAGTTCCTGTTTGTCAGTGTGATTTGGCAGTGAAGCAGGTGAGAGGCAGAAGGTGTTCACTTGCCAGGGCTGGGTGTTCTTTACTTCCAGGAGCAGTAAGCAGAGCCACTGGTTGAGCCACTCATGCTCTCCCTGCTCTGCAGGAACCGATGGATTTGGGGATTCCAATACCATGAAAGACAGGGGGGCAGATGTTGGTGTGGAGGTGACATCATTCAGTCTGTGAACTTGCTGCAGTTGGGGTCATTGTACAGCTCCCTGGCTCCTTATCAGAGTTATTTGCTGATAACCTATCAAGCGGTTCTGAGGATATTTGATAACTTTTTGGTTTCTGTTTCATTTTTCTGCACCAGTTTGTGCCCTGGCACAGGTATGTTGGCTCAGGGGAGAGGGGTTACCTGCAGTTACTGCCACTGCAGGCGTGGCCTCAGCTGCCTGACTGTGATTTCTGCGCGTGTGTTTCTTCCAGCCTTCCTCCCCCTGCCTTTGGATACTTTGAAATCTGTATTTTGAAAGTTATCTACTTTTCTGGAAGTAGAATATCAGAAAATACTATTCTGTATACTCTTCCTGCAATCTTGGCACTAGTATTTTTAAGGGAATAGATTACATTTTCAATAGCAATTTCAGTCTTACTCTCTCATGCTCTGACTAAAGACTCGATGGAGCTCCAGTCCCATAAAGGTGGTGCTTGAGCAGCCTGTGGCTGCAGGAACTCAGAACTGGCAGTGAGAAATGCTGGGAGGAGTTCAGGAGAGCTCTCAGTGCTGATTTAAAATGATCATTTGCAAAAGTGTCCTAAAAGTGGGGAAAAAAGAAGGTCCAATAACTCAAAATACACAGTAGGGCACTGAAGGACTGTGGCATCCCAGGTAATTTATTTGATATTAGTGATTTGGAGAATATATTAGATAAAAACTGAAGCAGTTTTAGAGACTTAGAGTCCAGTTTTCTGTGTGTTTTAAATACAGAAATTCTTGATTTTTAAAGGAATTGAATACTGCAAGTACAGTGTGTGCCAGCCCTCACTACTTCAGGTCCAGATTAAAATAAATTTAATACACAAATAGCAGGCCAAACAACTGGAGGTGGCTCCCTTAACTTTTAATGGGACTTGTGCAGAGCACTGCCCATAGACAAGCACAGTGGTTCTGATTTCTGTCTTTGATTTCAGTAATGCAGATACATGAAAAGTGAAGGCAGAAAGACTGATATGTCTTGAAAAAACTGAGGCTGACACACTTTTCTGTTGGGAACTCTGACTGGTCCATGGAGATCTCAAATGTTCCTTTAAAAGTTTTTCACTCAGACATTTAGAGAAT